ATTGAGAGATAAGCTGTCGATGGGGACCAGTTGAACTGAACCTTGAAGTGTTGAGCCCAACGGTCAAGACGGCGTTGCAGATCGTGAATCAGTGTGCCATGTGATTCCTTACTTACCTCACTTACGCCCATTTTCCTACGGTCTATATTCCTAATTAGATGGGATAGGTTACGACTATTACCAATAGCCGCAGCTTTCTCCATTTCTCGCGGTCATTCCTCAGACTCTTGATGAGCTGGCGTTTAAGGGATTTGCGCGCTGTGTCGTATGTGGCATCAGGAGGGAGGGTTCTGTGGGCATCCAGCAGGGCAGCCGACGTCGACGATATCCATCGTTTCTGTTTTAAGCTTGAGGCAGTGTCCGACGCTGTTTTGATCAATATCTGCATAGCTTCCTTGCTTTGCTTCCAGTGTTCATTGAGTCCTTCGGCTGGTGGTTGAACTGACAGGCGATCGGAGAGCTCCGCTCCGAATGCCGATTTGCATGAATCGCTGACACTATGTCCCGGTTGCTTTTTTGCGGTTGTTTGCCAGGCGTAAGGAGAATTCGGCTCGTAACAAGGCGTGGTCTGTGTCCACAGCTGTTGACCAGTAAAAGCGGCAATCTTGAATTGATCCCCTCCAGGGGTAACTGATGGAGATGTGGTCGAGTTGGGTCTAGCGAGAGCACTTTGGAGTAGTTGAGAGAGATTCTGGGAGAATTCATCCTTTATTTCCGGTATCCTGCAGTCGGTCGGTGCATACGCCGATACGACGAATAAGCATCGACGCTCTATTCTGTAGCTGTTGACTCGAACCGAACCGTTGAGACTCACAGCGCACAATCAGCTACTGCCTGGAATCCAGTCAAGAAGCGAGCGCTCAGCCTTGGCACTTAGCGCAATCCCGACACCAGCAACACCGCGAGCTTCGGATTCCGAATTGCCTGAAACATGAAGGATGAAGCGTGAGGTTGAGGTTGGTTCAGGAAAACGCAGAGAGATGATGGAAGTAGGGTCTTGTATGGGTGTTTCGGAGACACAGCATACATGTACATTGAAGTTTCGGGAGTTTTCGCCAGGGTAGCTTGTTAGCCAATCTGATAGATCTTGTGGACATTGAACGCGGCCAAGTGAAAAGGGGATTTTGGTTTCTTAAATCCTATAGCTTCTGATTGTCTGGCCTTGAGGGTAAAACGCTGATTCATATTCGATGGGTGGCGTAAACGAGAGGCATCTGGGATTAATCGAGGTTGAGAAGAGGAACTAGTGAGAATGGAAGGATCGTTTTCCAAATGGGTGCCCAAGACTTAAGGGCACGACATACTTCGCGGTAGCCCACACCGACGAAGGGGTTTTTCTTTGGGAACCCTAACCGGAGCCTTTGACTCAAGAGTCTGACCCACAAGGTAGTGGGGCTGTGAGAAGCCATCCTGTGTAGCTCGCAGGGTCTTCGAGGCGCGCAAGCCATCACACCACATCAAGGTGCAGTATCGTCGTTATTGGGCTTTTCATTGAATACGAGGCTCCACCTCGTATGTGAATTCCGTATTCGAGCACCGCGTGGATTTGAATTTTGTATGGAAGAGAGAGGTGCTTGTGTGTGAAGAAATACAATGCGCGGAATAGAAAAACGACTTTGAAGGCAGCGCGACAACGAGTGTAAGAAAGAACGCGAACCGTCAATTTTAGTGTTGAGTACAAGAATTTTTATTGTGGCTTTGAGAACCAACGTAGAACTGGTGTCCCTTCAATTCTGAAGTCCTTCATATCTGTACTTCGTCGATAGTGTGAATGTAACCGTGGAGAACAGTTGATTCGCCTTCTGCCGGTTTTAGTATGTTTCGTACCCTTTATTCCATCCGTCTACACAGATTTTCGGGACGCCCGCATCGCCAGCCATGCAGCAATTCTTCAACTCTCAACGTTCCCGAGCCAACGCGTCCCTTAGGTCCCCCGTTCGAGAAATACAAAATGAACAACTGCAAGCTGCCATTTGCATCCAGGCTGCCGTGAGAGGATTCTTAGACCGACGACGAGTGCGAACAATGCGTTCAATTCGACGTGAACAAGCGGCATCTCGAATTCAATCTTCTTTTCGTCGTTATCGAATCAAGCAACGATCCTTATCAGAAAAACGGGCTCTTGCGGCTGGCCGAATTCAACAAATGTGGCGCGGATATGCCTCTCGACGAATCTACAAGCGTCAGCATGAAGTTAGTGTCTCATTCTATTTTGTTCCTATCATCTACTTTTACCACTTTTAGGTTGTTTGCCTAAGTCAAGTCAAGGAATGGCTTTATACACCCCGAGAGGTGGATATTCAGCAACCACATAACCATAGTGTGTCAAAAAATACGTAAAACACAATAGTATGATACAGCAGTTAAAAGGATGTGAAAAGGGACAGCAACAACCAAAATGACTGGCACACCTGGGTGTTCATGAGGGATTTAGTGTAGTGTTTGACGC